AGTATTATGTGTAAAATTCTAATTTAATTGTTTAAATGAACTCGCTTTTAAAAAATATAATATCACCGTTTGCACTTGTATCTATTATATGAGAGTGTATAGATAATAGGTTGCAGTCAATCCACAACTTCATTGATTTCCCCAAAGATGTCAAGTACCAAAAAAAATGGAAGAAAGATTAAAAAAAAAAGACTATCTAAGATTGTTCTTTAGTTTCTTTTTAAGCTTCTTCAATTGCCTAGACTTCTTTAGCTTGAATGGAAGAATCAGGCACTTGACCTGGAACCAGTCCTTGGTTCACCAGATCACCCAAGAATATTTCGAGGAGTAGCTAAGTTTGATATATTGAAGAATTAAGAGAGCATCAATAGTGTTAGTTAAAGACTTTACGGCCTGGTCAGCTAGTACCCTTGCCCTGGAGTCTGGACGATATAGCTCATGAGATGGGTGGCAATTCTGAGTGCAACTTTTGGAAGTAATCTACTCCTTCAATAAAGCCTACATGTAAAGTCGCAATATGAAAATCCATCAGGAGACTTGTAAATGCACCAAACTAAAAAACGTTGCTACATCTCCTTAGGAATCTCGTCTTTCTTTAGCAAGGTGAGCCTCCAATTACGCATTCTTCTGATGGATGGAATCTCAGTTGTAGATACTGTCTTGAGCTCACCCTTGTACCAATCTCGAGCATCCTTCCTCGCTTTGCTTTTGGACATCACCCCAATTCTTATCCCTTTTCTCAGACAACATAGAGCTTGACTTGGCATTTGTGGCTTGAAGTTTCTCTCTCCCAGAATGCAATTTCATGTTTTGCAATTCAAGATTCTTAACCCTCTTAGCTAGGTCACTACATTTGTTTTGAGATGTCTCCAGTTCCTTTTCTACTCTCACCAGCTCCTTTATGAATTTCTCTATCATTTGACCAACAGTTGAATAAACGACTTGGGACTACAAAATGGAGAGCGAAATATAGAAGAATTAAGAGATACCATAGAAAAATGCAAAAATAAGATTGAAGAACTATACTTGGGTGGCAGTTAGGTAAAAAAGTCTCAAGACTTCCCACTCGTTAAACTCCCTCATGTATGTAGCATCGAGTGGAGGCATAGGACTAGAGGTGGCAAATCAACTCACTTAATTAAATTTACTCATATCTGCTCATGAATAGATGATGGATATGGGTATCTTAAATTTTTATAAATTGGTATTATTGGGTAACCCATCAAACCCAATTAACTCATTTAGAATTCTCTTCCCCCCCCCAAGTCTCTTCTTTCCCCCACCCATTTTTTTTTTCAAATTTTTCATTTTGTCATGATGTTAACTACTTTTGTTTCAATATTATTATTATTATTATTATTTGTTGGTTTTATCTTATTATTTTATTTTCTCTTAGTTTGTTAACTTGCTCATTTTTCAGCATTACAAATTTATGATAAATTTTAGCCTATTTTATTACCTTTCTAAAATGAAATTTTAAATTTATATATGAAAAAAATGTTAGGGGTTCAAAATTTTTGGATTAAGTTTTTATATTAATTTTTATAGTACTTAGTTCAAATTTTATATTCTTATTATTCAATTATTAAATAATAGGTAATTTTGTGACATAGAGTATAAATGAAAAAAAATTGGTAATTAAGTTTATTGAATATTATAAATAAATATTTAAAACTAATGATGGGTACAAAGAGTGGTATAAATTGATAACTTAGTTTGCAAAAATGAATTTAAATGAGTTTACAAAAAGTTAAAATAAATGGGTTATAAATGGGTAATTGAATTACCCAATTCATTTTTTGACTTACCAATTTATATTCATCTAATTAAATGGTATGAATGAGTTGACTCACTTATACCCATTACCCATTTTACCCAATCTAAACCCACCCAAGTCTTCCATTTTGACACCTCTACATAGGACCATGAAGGACCTTCTTGGCTACCTCACACCTCGGCATCTATCGTCAAATCCCACCATGGACAAAATTTTGAAGCCGCATAAGTGACCTCACTTCTAGGAAGTGGAGGGATAGATATTTTGGGAAATGGGGCAGGACGGTCATCAGTATGACTGTCCTTGAGCGGTTAATGGCCACAATTTGGCCTCAAAAATTTGTGCGGCTGAGATTATAAGTTGTAACTCGATTTCCACGCCATGTGTGGGTCCCACAAAAATTTACTCTAAAGTTACGCGATGTGCAATAAAAGTTACACGATGTACAAAGAAAGTTACGTGCAGTTGAAAATGGTCAAAACCGTCCGGGACGGTTGCAGGTTGCAGGTTGCACCTGCAACCGTCCGTGCCCCGAGTCCGATATTTTGACTTCACTCCAAAAAGAAGGGGGGATTTCGCTCCAATTGACTTCTGGGAAATCCTCCCCTTCCTTTCCTTTCTCCAGAAATCTCTCAACCTTGACCTCAACCACAACCTCGAGTCGAGTTTTGGGAGCCTCTTACCTTTACTTATTGGAGGACAAGTAGGAGGTTCAGCTTTTGATGCTGGATCATTTATTTTACAAGCTTGTGGTGCCAGTGCGATAGGAATAGAGCTCAATGCTCAACAACTGGGAAACACCTCCCACTAATCCTGTTTCCACCAAAGGTATGTTCATTTCTAGCTCAAGGGCTTCGGACACCTCAACTTCTCATCTCTTTCTTTTCATTGAAGGGTCATTCTCTTTGGCATTTAGATGAAATAAAAACTCACCACCTGGTGCCCCTTGCTCAGGTGGTGGATGAGGAGGATTTGTAGCAATGGGCAGTAGCAACCTATTACACCTCACTGCACTCTCTTTGGCTGCTGCCTCATTCAAGGATTTGACGCAAACTTTAACCAAATAAAAAACAAACTACATTGCAAAATCAAATGTCAAAATTAGGAGCCTCAACAATAAAGCTTGGCTCTGAAATAAAATAAAAATAAGAGAATCAAGTACATGTAATGCCATCGACCACAAAATCCACGTAGTCATCCCCAAGATCCACGACATTAAACTGGAGTTAGAGAGGCGAGATCATTGAAAATATTGCTCAATGGCTTCTTTATCTTCGCCAAGTCAAAATTAAAGATCATACATTGATAATTCAAAGCATTCAACATTCTTTGGGAGATAAATTGTGAATACTTCAATGTTTCATATCTGTAACTTTAGAGAAATGTCACGAGTGCTATACCAAGAAGAGAGAGACAATATATGGAGGAAGGAACGAACCTTATGCAGTATATTTCAAAACATGTTAAGCACGTATTTGTCAAATCACTAAAATATTCAATTTTTGTCTATGTATGCACTTCAATGGTTTACCAACCACTGCTACGTTCAAGTTTGTCATTAGCAATTGCGTTCATGGAATCAGGTGGCTTTGTAAAATTTTATTGCATTCATGCCTGAGATTAGTCAAATTATTGATTTAGCCAGTAGCCGCATAGCATGCAAATCCATATTCCCAAGTTGCCTTCACTCTAGGTCTTTCTCAAATTAAGTAATACAACAAAGGAGAGTGCTCCATGATATTTCATCTCTAGAGCTTATCTAGTTGGTGTCAGCAATTTCATATTGCCTATGTCTTCATGAGAAATTGCTGTTGCTAAAGGGAGTTAAATGTTAAAGGACTCAAATTGTGCTAGCTCTTCTACTAATGGCCATCACTTTGCTACAACAATCTGATCTGTATCTTGGACCAATACTAGTAATGTAAATTTAAGAAGATGATCCTACTTGATTTCTGATTTGAAAGTGTTGTAAAATGGATGCTAAACTAACAAATTTTGGGAGTGCTGAACAATTGTATTTGTTGTTTACTTGGAATCTATCTCCTCTAGGCTGAAAACCAGCAAGTCAAAGCAGTTTAGTTTTTTTTCTATGTTCTAATTAAAGTATATGCGATTGTTCAAGTAGAATGTGTCCTTGAAGGCATACTTTTTACACATTATTACAAAAGCCATATTAAAAGAACATAGATAGTCTCCTCTAATTAAAAGAACATGTACATTTACTCCGAAAGTGAACATTTCAGAACATTTCAGCACAAAGAAACATAAAACAACACTGGAATAAAAAGCAAAGAAATGTAGGAAAAAGCGAAAAGCTAGAAATCAAACTTGTTACTAAAAGAGCTCACAACTGAAACCAAATCCTCTCAAGTCTATGTCTTGGTTCTCTCAAGTGCTTGGAAGCCTTTCAACTCGCCACATTCCCCAACCAGCGACCCTCTAATTGAGATGACCCAATAACTTTCCTTAGTTAATTTCTCAAATCTTTAATTAGCCCAATTAGGGCTTTTATCTTACCAATTAACAAAACAGAGGCCAAAATAAAAAGACAAATTTGGGCATCCATTGTGGCAACTAAGTGATCGAGGTGCCTTTTAGATGCAAAATTCAATGCAAAAGCATGTGGAGTTGTGATGTTAGAGATGAGAAAGTGTTAAGAGAAGAAGAAACAATGCTGATTTTGTTGGTACATAACTTTAGCAAGGAAGTTTTTCCGACTCTTCTGTTCGCTTCATTTACTTTCTTTCAATAATTAGATTATTTGAATTATATGGAAAATCCATATAAAACCACTATTGTATATTTAACTTGATCAACCATTTAAAGTCAAGGCTGAAAATGGATCAATCCATTTAACTATGGTTCATATGGATTGATTATTGAATTTTGATCCAAATTGCTGCCTCTATTCCTAGCACATGTACAGATCTCTTATGCGTACAGGTAGCCGTTGCTACTATGTACAAGCTTTACTAGTCTCCATCAATAAAAATTACCAGTTTACCTCAAAAAAAAGAAAAAAAGAAATGTAGTAGTGATCTACAAATGAGGATCCCTTCATTATTTGTATGAAAAGCCCGTCAGCGGCCAAATGCACACGCTCAATATCAACAAGCTCCTCGGCTTCATCCCCTTCTTACTTGTGTCATTCCCTTCTTACCTGCAAATCACACGGGGAATATGAATTTAGCCCTAAAAGTTCCCTCATCAGGATTCATATTTTTCAATTGAAAGCTGCCAATCGGCTGGCACAAAGTGAAATGTCCTCCAAAAACGCTTCCGCCAATCCCACCCTCAAACCCCTATTTTCATGACCACCACCGACACACAAAGTAGCAATAAAGAACCCAGGCAAAGAAGTAAGAACATTCAGCTTAGGCTCCGCTCCACCTCCACCCTAAGGCAAGTTAAAAGGATCCCTGCAAATGATATGAATGCATAACTCGATAATAAAAGCCAAATGAACCAAATGCTAGACTTAGATATCACAACCAGATGAGGCAATAAAATATGGACCCAGTTTTCCAACAAAGATTTTTTTTTCCAACCAACGATATCATTTTATAAATATTAACACTTGACCTTACAAGGATTAGTTACAAAAAGGGGATACTACTCTCATATCTGTCCTAGCTAAGTCAGTCAGCCATATTGGGAAATCATTCTCCCATTCAATATCATGTACAAGCTTCACAGCATATTGTGCTAATTCATGGCTGATTTGATTTTCAGTTCTAGGTATAAACACAAAGGAACATCTTTCAAAAGCTAGACTAAGTTCCTGCGCATCTTCTAAGATAGTTGCAGTCGTGTAGTCATATTCCTTGCATTTAGTAATCTGCTCAACCACTGATTTGCAGTCTGTATGGACTATAATTTTTGTCCAACCTGATTGGGTAGCCATCAATAGAGCATTTTTCACAGCCCGAGCTTCCACTTCACTTGCCGATCCCTTTCCCTGTGTGACAATTCCTTTTGCTTTCAAAAGCTGTCCTTTCCAATTCCTTACTATAATCCCTTGTCCAGTCCTGAACCGTTTAGCTGATATCGCTGCATCAGTATACAACCTTATCTCTTCCTTCCTTGTCCGCACCCTCCTGGTAGGTAAGGCATCGTTCAGCTTCTCTGTACTCTCCATCTGGTCTATCTTCCTTACCTATTCAAACTCAAGCCATTCATCTTGTGCTTTCCTTACGATTCTTACTGGATCCTTGTTGACTTGTTCAAAAATTTTTTTGTTCCTGGCTTTCCAGATTTGCCAAAGGATATTAATAGTTAGACTCACTCTCTCCTGACCTTGATTCAGTGCCGGCGATTGTGTGGCTTGTTCCCACCATAGCCAAAAGTTATATTGCATACCCATTAATCCATCCCACCTGACCGGTGCTAGCTTCCATATTTCCACAGCCTTGTCACAGAAGAAGAACAAATGCTCAATGGTTTCCATGTCTTCACCACAGCAACCACATCTACCTTCACCTGTGTAGCCTTTTCGACAGCTGTTCATTGACTGGCAGACAATTTTGTAAGCACTTCCACATGAAGTGTTTTAGTTTGGCCTTCACCTTCAAATGCCATAACTGCTTCCACACCTTTCGTTTTCGTATCTCCCAACTTGTTTCTGCATCTTGGCCTGTCCTTCTACCTGCTTTTCGTTCCTGTTGCCTTGCTACACCATAACCAGATTTCATGCTATAAATTCCAGATTTGGAATGCCCCCATACCAACCTATCCTTTCTTCTTCCTATACTTGTTGGAATTCCTTTTATGAGCTCGGCATCTTTTGTACTAAACCACTTGAGAAGCAATTCATTTTTCCATTTCCCTTCCTCTATCAGCTCATTTACCCATTCCAACTTGCATTCCACAGGTTCACAACTTGCATTCCAACAAAGATAACTATAGTGTTTTGTTGGCCATGAAACAATCATGTTCACTTTCTTTAATACATTCCAATTACCAACCCAGTGGCATGTTCTCCAGTAGCTCCTAAAAGTATATCAAGTTCAAACAAATTGATCCCACATAACAGATTAGGGTCAGCAAATTTTAAAAGGCAATTTGGAAAAGCATTTAACTAAGAAAAATGGGAAAAATGAGGACGTTCTATTAGTGTAACTATGACTACAAAGAGCTTCATAGGATAGAATCCATAGCCCAAGACACATTCATCGTATAGAGAATTATGCTCATGATTTGTTGATCATCCCATTGAAGTATGTCATGCACACATCCAAATCATGCATCAAGTGAGCACTTTGCACATGAAAGGATATGTACATTGAGAGAAGAAAAAATTCAAATTAAAAAACAACATTACAGGCATTGAGGCTTAGAGTATCAATGTAATTTTAATTTGATATAGGCTCTTCAATGGATCAGGTGTTCTAACAAATAATTCACCAATCAATATATGCCCAGTCGAGCCAATCACAATTATAGGCAACAGGAAAAGAGGAAATCAAAAGGAAATCGATCACCTCGGCAAAGTTGCCTTCCATGGGTACGGTTGTTCGTTCACACGAAGGAACTTTTAAACTTGTCAAAATAATCAATTGCCCACTCTAACCTAAGTAGTATTAGAGCTAAAATATGAAGAGTCTACCAACCTATATCTTAAGTCATTCTCAATGTGGGAAATGCCTAATGTAGATGACAGAACATGCATCAAAAAAGAACTTTACACATGAAAAGATAAATATCTATCTTGAAAGAGGAGAAAATCAATAATTCAAATTAGAAAAATAACAATGTCGCAATCTGTAGGTATTGGAACCTAGAGTATCGATGTAATTAATTTGATGGAGGCTCCTAGTGGACAGGTGTTTAACAAAAAGTCACCAACCAACATAAGTGCAGCTGAGCCAATCACAATATAGGCAACAGATCAACAGGACATCCAATCACTTTGGCAAAATTGCCTTCAATGGATGCAAGTGTTTTATCCAAACAAACTTGCTTACAAACTTGTCACAATAATCAATTGCACTCTTACCTAAATAGAGCGAGAACATGAAGAGTTAAACAACCTGTATCTTAAGTCATTCTCAGTGTAAGTAATAGAATCAAGAAAAGGCTTCACCTGGGCAAAGTACACACCTCAGCTTACCACCCCCACCATCCTACAAGCAAAATAGAACGGATAGTCCAATTAAATTTTCTGTAATGGATTACATATGATCTAACCAGCAATTATATTTTGAAAAGGCATATTTTTTTGGCACAAAATTGAAATTGCTATCCAATCTTGCAAGTCTGGCTACTAGTAGCTAGGTAAACGGTTTAGCATTTTCTAAGTAATCTACAAAAATTTTACAACCTTGAATGTAGACTGCCTTTTAGCATTCCCAGTCATATGCTTGTACCTATGTCGCCATGGCTTATTGCACATGTTGAAGGTCAAAACCATATACATCCCCTGTTGCAAAGAAGTCTAATTTTCAAATGGCCTGAACATTCAATTCCAAAGATTTCTAACGTCATAGCTCTTGAAGTATTTACTCTGGGTTAATATACTACATTCAGTTCAAGTGACAATGGAAGATTGTTCACATATAGCACCAAATTCCAAAAATTATCAGGGCTAAACTAGTATTTGGATAGATGTATTTTAACTGACCAGGATAGCATAAAGAGTTACATCCCCTATCAGAGTAACTATGACAAAAGCTTCATGTGGAAGTTAATCCATAGCTTATTCAAAGTGATCATCATTTAGGGGAAAAAGAATTTAAGAAATAATAGATATAATTGTGCCTGATGCCAACAGTTGTATCAACACCAACCTCATGAATCCAATAAGTGTTAAGAACCCTGAGACCTCGCAGTTTCCAACCAGCCTGCTCCTCTACCACTGAGCACTTGCTGTGCTGAAATTTCAGCAACACCCTAGTTTATGGGTTCTCCACACACAATGCCCTTAGGAACACGCCCTTTTCTTCCACCACGTCTCACCCAAACACAGTAAATCACATAACCCTGAAAAGAAAACAATCATGTACCATGCATTAGAACTACAGGTGAGCATTATTTGGAGAAAGTAAAACAAAATAAATCTTATCAAGCAACTGACAATGGGAATCATATGTCCATCAACGCTACATCCCTAGCTCAAATGACAAGTAATTCATGTTTAATGGTTAGTTGCAGCCAATGCCCGTAAAAAGAAGAGTAAAAGAAACCACAAAATTTCAAAAAAAGTAAGAAGTTCGGTAAGCAGATATGTCAACTAGAGAGACCCCTCCAGCAGAAGGAATCCCAAAAACAATAACCGGCCAGTAAACATATATTCATTCATATAGCTACAGCCACTTCAGCAATTCAAGATGGAGGTACTTCAAAATTTCACCCTTTCCTTGGTACATATAGCTTTAACTTCTTACTCATAAATTCATTAATTCCAACATTACTAATCAAAAGCATAAAACAAATAAAAGCAAGTCCAGACAAGAAATGCTAAGAAACAAGATAAATTACTGATAACACGAATTACAAATGAAATAGACAAATTATTCTCAAAACAGGGTTCTCTCCAGGAGGTAAAGTGAGTCTTCAAGTTCTATGTGGACATACATGAAGCTAAAATGGATTGCAAACCCAATAAGTTTACAGCCTAATAGAAACTTTTAATTGGCTTGCTTAGCAGAAAAATTGTTACCCCGTAAAACACTACTAGCTGGATATAATATGTTCAGAAAAGAGCTATAATCAAAAAATTCTAGCTGTAACTGAACAAATCGTGCGAAAATAGACCATAAAACAAAATACTCAAATAACATTAATCACATTTTCTGGATATTTACAGTCAAACTAGGAGGCATAAACGTGAAAATACATTCTGGTATGCCCATGCCAGACCATGCATTGGTACAGTAAAAACTGGTTTGATCTATTCATGTTTTTTGCTATCAGAAATTAAGCCAGCTGTGTCCGCATTTTAGAAAAAAATTTGATGATTTAATAGACAATAGGGAGACAAACAACATATGAACAAATTTAAAGGAAGTTTTCTGCAAAGCAGATATGTGCTGCAACCAACCGAATTCCAATTTTTTCTGTCCAAGTCAAATTTACAATAAACTATTTTTTCCCTAAAGAAACATTGACAAATTTCCTCAAACCTACTTAAAGGCAAAGGGATTATAAGCTGTCAATAATAAAGACAATTTAAACAACTTGGCAGTACAGTTAAAAAAGCCAAGAGAAGCTAGATTACCATAATCAGCTTCAGAACTGACCATCCATGACCTTTAGCTTTGAGATTATTCTTCAGGTAGGTAAAGAAGCTCTCATTGAACCTACTTAGACATCACGTCTCCCTTTTCCACCAGCAATTTCTAAACTCCCTAATTGACTTGTCCAAATTATATGCACACCACCACCAAGTGCAGCCATATGCTCAAGCACTGCTTGTAGAAAAGAGGCAGCAGGTCAAGATATGGACATCATAATCTCTAAACTGAAACCTGATTTTATATAACAAATCAGCACATAGTCAACCACAAAAAGATGACAAATCAAAATCTATAATCAGAATCATGAATATGGCTATGTTGAAAACTGCTAGAGTTTACCTCTTGGCATCAGGTCCAACTTCTTTAACTTCACAGGGGAATTGGGAACTAAATCTAGATAATTAACAAGTAGCCTGAATGCATAGAACACCGATTAGTGACATCCAAATATTACATTCGCTAACATAATATAAAACAATACATATCCTTCAGAATGAATCCAAATTTTACGTTAAAAGCATGACCATATTTATTTTCTATATAAAGGCCAGCCGACACAGTTCTGTAGATTGCGTCATAAATAATTTGCATCAGAAAACAGAATAATCTAATGAAGAGTGAAAAGTATTAGTATGAAGCATTAATCTTACAATGAACAAGAAAACATAGGGTAGGAAGACTGTTGCTGCTGCGGCGGTCGTTGATTCTCTGAAACTGAAATTCCTAAAAACCCTAGAGATATATACAGAAAACTGTGAAGCTATATCGATCTGTTGAAGGTAGGGCATTTTGGCAACTAAAAGCAAATCTGTGGGCAGATAAAAGAGCCACAGATTTTGCAGTCCTGGAGAGTGAATTCAATGCCGGGCATTGGAATAATTTCGATTTTGTTTCTTTCTGCGGAAATGGAGAAGAATTACCCAAAAATTTTCTAAAATTTAGGAAGAATCGGGGAAACTTCAGCTTTGCAGTTGATCGGAGAAGAGAGAGGGGATTGACAACCTCTTTTTAGAGGAGAGGGTATAAGTGGGCTGGAGTTGCGGCGTGGAGGCATTTGAAAGAATTTTTTGTTGGAATTCTGCCTAGCTGTGGCTGCTATTTAGGGTTGCAAGGTAGACGAAGGAGAAAAGGAGGAGCGGCGGATTTGTAAAGTGCGTTTTGTGCGTTTAACCTAATTGAGGAAAGGAGTCCGCGCAAAAGTGGACTGAAACTCGCGTGAAGCGCCAACCGCAATAGGCTAGGATGGCCACGGTTCCAGTCCGATTTGAAAAACTACTAGATCCGGTTCTTCTCTTATAGGGACGGTTATAGAAACCTTCCATTACAATATCTATTTCTTCCATTTTCTGTTCTTTAATTATATTTAAATATTTTTTATTATAAAATTAATTATATTTAAATATAATTAAATATTTGTTATATTAAGAGATAATTTCAAAAACCTCCCTTGAGGTTTTTTTAATCACACCTAACACCCCTCAAGTCTCTAAAAGCACACTTAACACCTTTGAATGACAAACTTTGTAACATGTCAGCCCTTTTATGTAAAATAATATTAAAAACATATTTAGTAGAGGGACTATAGTATTCTTCTAATTTTGACCTTTTGTAAGTTGATTTTGGAATTTTAGAAGATGAAAATAAAAACAAATAGGGCTGTAATATTTACATAGAAATTGAAGGAGTGTAAGTACAATAACTACTAAATTATCATTTTTATTGATTCATGTGACTGTTATAAGATTTGTGCCAAAGTTTTAGATGTAAAGGAAATAAAATTTTTTGAATACTATTTGTTAACCAATTTTTCAAAAATTTTATTTTTGATAATTGAACACACCTATTTAATATTCATTTTTTTCATGATTTCAATTGCATCCCAGCTTTTTTCTTCACCAGATGAATTATTTTAACCTATTTTTCCCTCACCTCTTACTGATCAAACTAGATAACAAGATAAAACCGTAGTTAAAAAAAGATAGATTTTCTATGTTTAGATTGTCTAAATACCTCAAAACCTATCTTTAGTTGCATATGTAAAAAAAAAAAAAAAAGCCCAAAATGAGCCCAAATTTTATGGCATTTTTGTTACTTTATTTTACATAATCGAACATAAATGTTTTTTCTTGCCTTTTCTTGAATAAAAAATATGAAAAGGGCAAAAAAAGAATCAACTTATTTTTATTTTTGTCTTCTAATTTTCAAAAATCAACTTGCAAAAGGGCAAACATGGAAGAATATTTATAGTCTCTCTCCTAAATGTATTTTTTAATAACTGCTGCAATGGCTACTTTCCTTCTTGTAGCCGTTGCAGTAGCCATTGCAACCGCTACAAAAAGGAAAGTTGTCATTACAAATAGCTACTTTTAAATTTAACAATGGCTATTTTCTTGATCTTTTGAAAAAATAACTTTTTGTGAATTTATCATAATGGCTAGTCAAACTCAAAGTATGATCAAGTGCTAGTTTTTTAATATTTTGACTAGTTTGATTTTAACACTTTGTCTAGATTGGACTTGGATTTGAATTAGTTATGGCATAAAAAGGAAAATAACCTTTTCAATGTGAAAAGCAGCAGTTGCAATGGCTACTTTCCTTCTTGTAGCCGTTGCAGTAGCCATTGCAACCGCTACAAAAAGGAAAGTTGCCATTACAAACGGCTACTTTTGAATTTAACAACGACTATTTTCTTGATCTTTTAAAAAAAATAATTTTTTGTGAATTTGTTATAATGGCTAGTCAAACTTAAAGTATTATCAAGTGCCAGTTTAATACTTTGACTAGTTTGACTTTGATACTTTGACTAGATTGAACTTGGACCTGAATTACTTATTGCGTCTAGATTTATTAATGAGTTGGATAATAAGTTGTTGGTGCTAGCTATTAACATTGAACTCTAGATTGAGTCAAATAGGTCTAGTCACTCAAGATATGAACTGTATTTTCAAAAAGTTTAGACGGTTTTAAACCACTGGTTCTGGTTCTATGTGAGAGCCCGTAAAACCCTAATATTTTTTCCTAGGGTTATTTCCCCTTTAATTGCATAATTTTGCATTTTCTGGCTTAGAAATATTTTTTTGAGAGGATTTTATGAGCAGTTATAGTTTTAAGATGATTTTTCTAGCATTGGAGAGATTTTTGAAAATTAAGAGTAAATAGTGGACGTGGGACCCACTAGTGCGATAAGTTCGGAAAAATTCGGCCAATAAGATTAAGTTTCGGATACTGTGTAAAATTTATCGGGTGTTAAGTGATAAGTAGTGTGTGTGAAGTGATTGATGTGAGAGAGAAAAGAATGATAAGATTGCATTTAATAGGGTGACACATGTCACTTTCTTATTGGATATCTTTTATGAATCACTATTCACCTTTTGACATTTTTTTGACTTTTGACCCAACTAAGTAAATATCCAAAAATTCACCAAAAATCATCATTTTCTTCTCTTGTTGGCCGGCTCTCCTTAGCTCAAGAAGGAAGGGAACTTCTCCATTTTGCAAGCTTCCACTTGGTCCAATCTACCACAAACCAAAGCCTAGAGTTGATTTCACTCCATAAAAACTTTCCTTCTAGTGTTAGTAAGTAGTTTGGTGAGATTTGTTTGAAGGACTAAGGTGCTCCACATCTTCCTCTCTCTTGTTTCTTGGTAAGTGAAGCTTGAAACACCCTACTACCTTTAATGATGGTTATATGATGCTTAGAAGTGGCATGAGTGTGTGAAAATGTGATTTATTTCTTGATTTGAAGAGTTTTGGTGAAGTTTTTATTTTATTGGGATTTTTTCTGGTTTAATATGATCTTGATGTTGGGGGCTTGTATGATGAATTGTAATGGTTGGAAATGACTCTAGTGAGTGTGAATTGTGGTTAAATGCAATCAATTTTGGATTTGGTGTGAAATTTGAAAAGTTAGGGTTCTTGAACCCCAATTCTGTCCGGTTTTAGATCACTGTGTTAGAGGCCGAATTTGACTTTGCTCAAAACATGAAAGTTCTAGGTATTGATGAGGTTGATGTGCCTGTAAAATTTCAGGTCATTTGGATTAATGTAGAATGAGTTATGACGAAATTACTGTAGCTGTTCTGCTTTGAGCAGAATGCGAAAACTGCGATAGTAATTGGCCATTTTGACTGGAATTGGTTTGGATTTTGGAGTTGGTGTCTTCTGATGAAATGTAGCTGAGTGTCTTAGCTAACATATGCCTTTGGAATTTCGGCATTTGGACTTGTAAGGACTGAGATATACTGATTACAGTTTTTTGTGTTTTGCGAACCTGTTTTAGGAATTCTGGGTTAGTATTTGGCATTTTCGACCTAGTTAAGCTAGGAACTGGATTGAGTGGTCTTCTACATTATTGTAGCCCTGTTCCATAGCTTCGAAACGGTGGGTCTTACACCCCCAACCGATATTTGTAGTGAGAGTTGTACCATTACCGCATAATGAGTGTAAAACAGTTTTCTATTTGGGGCCAAGACTAAGGCCATTTTCTAATTTCTGGTTTGCTATTATGCTCATTTATGCATATGAAACCCTATTAGGGTTGTGAATTGGTGTTGTTTATGGCTCGGCATGGAGTCTTATTGTATGTGTTGCATGATTCTAGGGCGTGAAGGTAGTGCACGACGGCTTGGTGATCGTGGTACATGAAATACCACTTACTTGCTTGGTGAGTATACCACTCACTAGATTGTTACTATGTGGCTTTGTTAAATGTTATGTGATGCCTTGATGGCTTATTCGAATATTGAAATTGATTAAGGTGAGGGTGTACTTGACCGCCCTCACCTCTTTTGATATTGTCACTGAATGGCTACCGTTTTATTGCATTACTGAACTTGATATATTGGTTGGTGAATTCCATTTCATGGAAACTGAATTGATGTCGTTTGGACGATGTCCAACGGCCTTACTGCATTACTGAGCTCAACCCCGTTTGGTAGTCAATTGGATCGAGCCGGCGAGGGCTTGGTCGTGAAATTGAATCGCCACGGGGACTGTACTGGGGAACCTTGTGGTAATGAGACCCTTTGGTTCCGGTAAACTCGAGTATTACCAAAAATATTACTGAATGGAGTGCGGGCCCGATTGGGGTATGTTGGGTGGAAGGAATGGAAGTAAAGAGTTGTCTACGGTTTGGTATTTTAACATTGACGGAGAGTCAATGAGGTTGGTTCAAGATTGCAAGCGTGGAAATGGGCTCTTGAGAGCCGACCGTATCCTTTTACCGTTTTGCTTCATTGCTTATTTGTGCACTTTAAATGAAGGTTCATTCTTATATGACTTTGATTGCTTATTGGGTGGTATACCACTGGGCTTTGGCTCATTCCGTGTTATTTCTTTTCCTTACAGGGATATAATTGCTTTTGAAAATGGACTGGATAGTCAATTGCCATACTGAGCTTGTAAATGTCTTTTGTATAGCTCTTGAAGTGAAACCCTAATGTATAACGGGTTCATTTCCTTTTGATAGGCAAATCGAATGTGTACTCCTTAATGAATGGTTTTGGCATGCCATTATGGTTGTAAATGTTGATTTCCGTTGTACATATATGCTTGGCTATGGTTTAGATAAATTTCGGCTTCGGTTTTTCGTTTTATTTTATTTTATTTTATTTCGTGTTTTGACTTGTTTGCGCGCGATGTTATGTTCCGGAACGTTTTAGATTGACGTAAACCGTACCGTTAGTCCTGGCGAGAGCTGGGCAGGCAGTCCGCTAACCCTTTGGTTCGCCTTAGGGGAAGGTGGGGCTGTCACAGGTGGTATCAGAGCCTAGTAATAGAATTAGCCTGGGTGTAATAGAAGTGCTCGACTTGGCCAAGGGAGACGGATCCAAACCAAAAGTTCGCGGCTAGGGTATATTCCTTAGAGCCTCACCAGATCCAGAGTCTTCCGAGGTGGTGGAAGGTACGATCCCTATTTTCCACCGCTTTGCCAAAGTTTTAATTGATCCTGGTGCCACTCATTCGTTTGTTAACCCTGATTTCATGTGTGGCATCGATATAAAACCTGCTAGTTTACCATATGACTTAGAGGTTAGTACACCTACGGGGAACCAACGTTTGGTGACTAGTATGGTTTATAGGGATTGCGACGTATGGATAGGTGAAAGGAGGTTTTTAGGGGACTTGATTAGCTTATCCATTAAGGGGTACGACGTGATTCTGGGTATGGACTGGTTAGCCAAATATAACGCCCAACTGGATTGTAAAACGAAAATAGTTGAATTTCGCATTCCTGGCGAGGCAACCTTAA